TGTCATGTTTTTTTAATGTAATGTGCACTAAATGTAAATTCATTTGTGAAGCCCTGCCTAGAAAAAGAAAATTCCAATGATGGAAATAACTATGCCTAAAGATGTGATTAGTTTTACAGCTGAAAGGCCTGTTTGTTTTACTGCTGCATGTGAATTCTTTTTAAATAGCATTCAAACTACATGCCTCTAAATCAATAAAAAATACAGAGTGGCTCAGTCTGATTTGATACAAATTACCTTTGGAGAACTTGAGTGATGGTCTGTTTATGTTGTTTCAGCAGATTTAATGTTTCCAAATGAAAGACTGAGCAAATAGCTGAAAGAGCACACTGATACATCGGTGAGAACCACCACAAGCTAAGGCAATTATCTAGTTTTCATTATTGTCCCTCTTTTGCAGTGGATAATTAGAGCAAATAAATATGCCAGTTCCTCACCTTTGTTCTTTTTTAGCCATTCGTTTATCAAAATGTTGAGCTCATTCAGGAGATGGGTGTTTTGAGTTTTGTCTTTATGCTTTTTAAAATAGTTAAATTCTTTAGTGATAATATTCCGTAAAAGAAAAAAATCTCTAGATCTTTTGTTAACATCATTCTTCAACGTAACTGCTCTGTTTCCTTCTTTTTGTGCTACCTTTAGCTTTTAGCCAGTCTTTGGAATAATTTAGCCTCTGACTAGCCTTCTGCTATTTTTACCAAGCCATTTAACATTTTTAGTTAGCTTGTTGCTGCTTTGGTTACCTTCTGCTCTTTATGTAGCTTGTGCAACTTCTAGAGAGCCTTTTGTGACTTCTAGCTAATGATTGTTTTGCTAATTTACCCACCTTCTTTATTTTTAGCTTTGCACAAGCCTTTTGATTATTATGTAGCCTCTGCTTATTTTAGCTTTTGGCAAACCTTTTGCCATTTAATTTAATTTATTTTTTATTGAAATAGGGCCAAGTGTCAAGTATTACCAATACTATACACCAGTGGTTCCCAAACTTTTTATCTTCTGGCCCAAAAAATACCCATGGCAAAAACATGTGACCCCAAATACTACTGGTCTGAGTACACAAACTTCATTAATAACCCTAAAAACACAGGCTTTTGACAATCTAAACAGCTTGTATACAAATATAAATACTTATTTCTACTTATTTTGCATTTTTGTAATAATTATAGGGAAAATATTACATCAGCAATTATTTTATTATCCTTTAAACTGATCTCTGGAGATTATCCAAGGTGCTTCATGACCCATAATTGGGTCCCAAGCCCAACTTTGGGAACCAAAGTGCAATGGTTCCCAAACTTTTCAGCTTTTGACCCACAAAATAAGCTAACAGTAGCAGAGACCTGA